ACACTCTGTTATTTCAAAATAATGTGAGTTATTTCAAAATAAGTATGCAGTGTAGACATAGCCTTAGAAACTAACAACAAAAATATATATAGTATCACAAGCTTCTATGGACAAAACCCATTTCCTCAGATGAGTGGGTTTTGCCCATGAAAGCTCATGATGCTTTATAAATTTTTTTGTTAGTCTCTAAAGTGCTACAGGACAATCCTTGTTTTTTTAAAGTTACAGACTAACACAGCTACTCCTCTGAGACTTTCTCACATCTATTGTGTGTAGTCGATCTTATTTACTAGCCAAACTAATAATTCATAATTTGTAGATATGTATGGGCTCTACGTCATTATTTTATTAACAAATTATAAAGGCCTTGATTTATTTATGAAATTAATTACACTTATTAAATGATGACACGGTGTTACTTCGGTAAATGTGCTTGCCATTTCCCAGCTAATTATAACAATTAAGTTTCCATGGTGCTACCACAAAGCACAGCTCATTAACTTTAATTACTCTGAAATGCAGCTGCTCAGGTACATACAGAAATGAACAGGTAAAGCCATATTTGTTAGTAAATTTCCGCAAATACAGTCTGTTTGTTGGTATAAACTGATGATTTTCCTCCATATTTCTCACCTTATATTTGTATTTATATTAATATTTAAAAGATCTATTTTAATGTTTTTCTTCCAGTACACAAAAAACTGGCTTTTACCTTTAGAGCACTGGATCAAGTTAAAAAAATATTCCCCAGATAAATGAAGCAGATGTCTTTGTTCAGTACAGAATGGGCATTTTAAAAGGCCCTTGGATAATCATTACTAACTCGAAAGATCCCAAATGGACTTAACATGCAGATTACATTTTCATTAGTTGTAACAATGGTGTAATAAAGATAATTTTTGTAGAAGTGTCTCAGAGATGGACTGCACTTAGAAATATGAATTGTTAATCACCTTGGAGACACAGACTATCACAGTATTGCCTTCTTAGCTCACTGAATGATTGCAAATGAGTGAATAGAAAGACAAATCAGCTGTCCATTAGAAGGTGGTCTGGTCTGGAAGCAGGGAGAAGATGCATAAAGCTCCTTTGAGCACAGCACTCTCTCAAGAGAGGCAGCTGTCATTTCTTTAGTTCCAGGTGTGCAAGAGGGATCTGCTGCTGCTGCTGCCAGTGCTTCACAGAGTGGAGGGAGCATGGGGTCTGGGCAGACTCAGGGTGTGACAAAAGCTTTTCCCCCTTGCATCCCATCTAGCAACAAGGACAGTGCTGTAGAGTGTGCGCTCTACACCCATCCAGGGGTGGCCCGTGGATGTAGGCAACCTCGGCCAATGATGACGTCACACCATTGAGGGCTATGGAGGAGGGGGCGCCGATCGCACATTCCGCCTAGAGCGCCAGTTGCTGGCAGCTTTCCTTGAGCCACTCCTTTAACCATGCACCCATCCTTTGTACATGTGTTGCAGGTGTTATCCCTGAGTGCACACCTCTTAGCTCACTTGTTTTCAAAAAAAATTCCTTGCAATGCAATTGAAGAAAATTGTTGATGTCCGTGACCCAAAATAAGTATATCTTTTGACTAGGGTGCAGGCTCCAGGCTAGGGATGAAGAATTCTAGGTGAAGGAGGGGGATCTGGGTTGAGGAGGCTCAGAGCTGGGGCAGGAGATTGGGATGGAGGGTTGGGGTGTGGGCTTACCTCCAGCAGCTCCTGTTCAGTAGCACAGTGGAGGTGCTAAGGCAGGCTCCCTGACGGTCCTGGCACTGAGGACCATGCTTTGCCCTTGAAGCAGCCAGCAGCAAGTCTGGAGGCACACAACTGGTGCTTCACACTGTTCTCACCCACAGATACCAGTCCCAGCTCTCATTGGCTGGAAACTGGCCAATGGGAGTGGGTAGCCAGTGCTTGGGATATATTTGAAGTCCCGCACCTCCTGCTCCCACCTAGGAATCAGACCTTCTGCTAGCCACTTCAAGGGCACAATGCAGTCCATGGTCCCAGGACAGGCAGGAAGTCTGCCTCAACCCCCCTTATGACCACCTGATCACCCTACACCAGTGATCCAGTGCTTGATATTCTGTGACACAGTACTGGGTTGTGACCTGTAGTTTGAAAATCACTGCTTTAGCTCCTTTGGAGCCATCAGGCCATGCAAAAGCATAACATACCCCTCTATCACAGCTTGGATGCAACAGCTGTGTCAGAATTCTATAGTTCTCTTCCTCCCCCTTTTCTACACTATTCACAGTTGTTCTCAGAGTTATAATTTTAGTCCAGGGTCAATTACCAGCATCTTGCCTGTCATCCAACATATATACTTCAGCTGTGATAGTTTGACTTTGCCAGCCAACAGGAATATAATTTGGAATTGTTGTGAAAAACAAAGTACAGTAGTAGCAGTGACCAGCTCAGCATGTTTCCACATATGGAGATGGAAGTGTGCAAAAATCATCAATATGCATCTTGAGAATTGTCATGCATGTTTTCACTAAAACTGCAGCAAGGGAAAAATGTTGCTCTTTTTCACCAGCTTGGTAATGTCCACTTTGGGGTTCTAGGTGATTTACAGAGAAATCCACGGAGGCTAGATATCTCTCTGCTAATCCATCTTTCTTTACACAGAGAGCAGCTTTTAAAAGTGGAAAAGTGAAAAGCCTTTTCAGTGTAATGTTGAGCTTATGTTGTAGGAAGCTCTGATGCAGGGTAGCTTTGTAAGTGATGAAACATGCAGCGGTCCTAAGAGAGGATTGAATGTCTCTTCAATGAAGTACATTAGCAATTATTATGTCCGACTCACCATAAATGCTGGGTGGGAAGTACCTACCATTAATGAAGTATTTATCAGCACCAGGGCCATTTATCTGTTTGTAATCTCTGGGTCAAAGAGAATTGTCACTGAAATTTACTGTGTGGTCTAAAAACACTAGAAGTTATGGTCCCTTGGCTAGGGAGCGAAGCTTTATATTGCAATGCAGTCTGGGTTTTTTATTAATAGCAGCAACAGCAGCAACATAATTCCAGGCGCCTAAGCTCCAAAGGCAAATCATGAAATTGAATCTGTGCTAGAGATGCCTTCACCTAAAGAGAGATTTTCTCTGAAGATTCCCACAGTGAGCATTTTTTCATCAAGCTATTTTGCTGCCCGAATTACTTTTCAAAGGCCAAAGGCAGAAGTGTGACTAAAAAAAATTAAACTGAGTATTAGGCTTTAATTACAGTGACACTTTCTTCACTGAAACTTGTCACTCAGTCGAAACAATAGTAAAGAATAAAATTGTGAGGCACATAGAAGAACATAATTTGTTGGACAAAAGTCAACATGGTTTTTGTAAAGGGAAATCATGTCTTACTAATCTATTAGGGTATGTCTACACTACCCCCCTAGTTCGAACTAGGGGGGTAGTGTAGACATACCCAACTTGCTAATGAAGCCCGGGATTTGAATTTCCCGGGCTTCATTAGCATAAAGCAGAAACTGCACCAATTTGAAAAACAGCTACAGTAAAAGCAGTGCAACCCCTTTGTGGGCATTCCAGTATTTGTTTAAACTGGTTATGATGGGGTTTATGTCACACCTATGAATTTACCAATGCCAGGCTAATCAATATAAAACATGCTTCCCTTGATTTAAGAATATCTATGCAAAGCTGAATCACTTTAACTAAACTAGTATTAAAATGACACCTTTAGTTAAACTGGCATAGCTGTATGCTTAGACCAGGCTTTCACAAATAAAAGCATAGGGGGAAAAGATAAAACAAAACAGGGCTCTCTCTGAACACACAAGATGAAAGTTTTCCAAGAGGAGTCAGAGATTCTTTAAAGAGGAAATATCAGTTTGAATATTTTGAAACTGACAAATTAAAAAAAAAAAAGAGAATTTCTGATAGAGCATCCATTTTAAACACTGCTTGCTTACTTAAATTCCCTTAAAATACTTAGGGGGAAAAAAAGAGTTCTCCGGTTTCCATAGGCATTGTTATCAATGCATTTTTTCAGAAAGGTGAAAACTTAAGATTGATAAAACATGCAATAAAAGGTGGAGTCTTTATGTAATTTCCATGTAAATAGCCCAAATAGCCCAAATAACAAACTTGTGTACTTGTGTAATGTACATGTAACACCAATAAAAAGGCACAGCCATCACTTTGACTGAGTTTTATGTTTAAAATAGTATTGTGCTATAGGTTGAACCTCTCTAGTCCAACAACATCCATGGTTCAGCATGATTTTAGTTTTTCAGATGTCCACTTATCATGGTTGTGGCCAAGTTTCCCACAGTTCCATAAAGTGTATTTACAGCCACCAATCCTGGCTCTCCGTGTTCTGTCCTGTTATTTAGCTCTAATTTACACCTAAATGTCTTTTACAAACCCAGTAAGTTACGAAAGTGCTCGTAATGTTGCTAGACAGTATTAACCTCCTGTGGTTCAGCAAATTCTCTGATTTGGCACCAGTCAGTTCCCAAGGGTGCCAGACTAGAGCGGTTCAACCTGTACTAGTTAAAGTCCACATTTAAGAACACTGAAAGGATTCACACAACAGTATCATCTGTTAAAGGAGAGGTTAAAGCGACTGGGACTTTTCAGTTTAGAAAAGAGGAGACTGAGGGGGGATATGATAGAGGTCTATAAAATCATGAGTGGTGTGGAGAGGGCTGATAAAGAAAAGTTATTTATTAGTTCCCTAAATAGAAGAACTAGAGGTCACCAAATGAAATTAATGGGTAGCAGGTTTAAAACTAATAAAAGAAAGTTCTTCTTCACACAGCATGTAGTCAACCTGTGGAACTCCTTGCCAGAGGAGGCTGTGAAGGCTAGGACTATAATAGAGTTTAAAGAGAAGCTAGATAATTTCATGGAGGTTAGCTCCATAAATGGCTATTAGCCAGGGGATAGAAATGGTGTCCCTGGCCTCTGTTTGTCAGAGACTGGAAAAAGATGGCAGGAGACAAATCACTTGATCATTGTCTTCGATCCACCCTCTCTGGGGCATCTGGTGTTGGCCACTGTCGGCAGACAGGCTACTGCACTAGGTGGACCTTTGGTCTGACCCAGTACGGCCGTTCTTATGTTCTTATGTAGAGGGTGTGAAAAACCACCCCGCAGCAGTGGCACAGTCATGCTGTTGTTAGGTGCACAGTATACATATAGCCTTAAGTTTAGATGGAGTCTAAAACCTGACCCATCAAACCCTTCCCCACAAGTAACTTTACATATGGGGACAGTCCCATCAAGTGGCACATCCAGCCACCCCCCAGACCACTCCAAGCCCTCCTCTTCTCCTGGTTGAGTCCAGCTCCCCTGCAGCTTATGAGCCCCCCTCCCCCTTTCCAGCCGTTTTTACTGAAAAATCAATACAGAGTTCGTCTTGTTCCAACAGGTGTCTTTTTTAAGAGGTCAGGGAAGGGGTGAAAGGAGGGGTTGTGGTGGGGAAGGTATAGGGCAGCTAGCCAGACGCTCCTAGAGGCTCTGGGGAAGAGTTACTGGGGTCCTTCAGAGAACCTCTCCCTCAGGGCTTCCCGGTTGCGCACCTGATGAGCTTGGCAGATGACAGCTGTCCATGGCTGCTCAAAGGGTCATCCCTCGCAGCCGGCATCTGTCCCCCGCCCTGGGAGAAAGGCCTCCCCTTTCCTCTCCACAATGTTGTGGAGGACACATCATGCCATGACCACCTCGGGGATGTTGTGCTCTCCCACGTCGAGGCGGGTCAGGAGGCACCTGAACCATGCCTTGAAGTGGCCAAAGATGCACTTGACCTGAATCCTGGCCCAGTTCAGGCAGGCATTGAATTGGTCCCTGCTGGGGTCAGGTGGCCGGTATACGGCTTCATAAATCACAGTATCAGGGTTTAGGCTGTGTCCCCCACAATGCACAGTGGCATCTGCATATCCCCAATGACAAAGTCACGGCAGGAAAGAATGTCCCCTCCTCCAACTTCCCATACAGGCTGGAGTTCCAAAAGATGTGCGCATTGTCAGCCCTGCCCAACCACCCAACAAAAATGTCTGTGAAACGTCCACGGTGGTCAACCAGGGCCTGCAGCACCATGGAGAAGTAGCCTTTCCTATTAATATGCTGAGCCACTCGATGCTCAGGTGCGCGGATCGGTATGTGGGTCCCATCTATGGCTCCTGCACAGTTTGGGAACCCCAGTGCAGCAAATCCAATCACGATTGGGTCCAGGTCTCCCAGGTGGATGACCCTCCGCAGCAGGATCGAGTTGATGGCCCTCACAACCTGCAGAAGGAGACAAACACACAAAACAGAGAATGAGAAAGGAAGTGCCTGAGCCTTTGGGAGGTGTCTGGCCTCCTCCCATCCCTTTCCCCCCGAAACACCCCAGTAGCCACCCCTATGAGGCCACCTCCTCCCCCCCAGCAGCAGGGCTGCATGAAGGTGGGATGGCACAACCCCCTGGGGGCGGGGCTTCTCCCCCACCCCCAACAGCCCCCAACTCTCCTTTCCCCAGGGTCCCCCTTTTCCAGGACTCCCCACCCCTGCCGGGACTGCAGCTCCAGCGTGCCTTACCTCCATGAGTAGGACCCCAATGGTGGACATCCACATGCTGAACTGGTTGCCCACCGACCAGTAGCTGGACACTATCTTTTGAAAAAGCAGATTGCTTTTTTGATGCACTTTGGCAGTGTGAACGTTCACTTTTGGAAGAAGTTTTTCTGAAAGATCTCTTCCAGAAAAGCTTCTTCCCAATGAAGCCTGCAGTCTAGACGTAGCCTCACAGTGACATGGGGGGTGCAAGCCTTCCTGCTACATCAAAACCCAGTCTCTGGGGAAGAACAGGTAGCAGTGTTGTATAAATGCTAGATTTTAATCTAAGATGCATGGCATATTTCACAGGCTCAAAGTAACTACCGCTTCACGAACAAGCACAGAAGCAGATTTCTTTGTGCTTTGTGTCACTGTACAATGTGCCTCTTAAATTAGAATCTACACCATTATCTTGTTTATATCTACAAAACAATGTATTCCCAGAAAAAGATTCAATCTGTATGCATCGTACAAGATGTTCCACACCTATAAATAAATCTTTAACTGAAACTTTAGTTATCAGCCCATCTTACAGTATCAGGGTGTCCTGGTACTTTCTGATTATCTTTTCAATGCCTGACTGGCCCCGTTTTGCTCATAAGAATAACAGTCAGGATTCTCTTTTACTAATTTTTTCTATAAGCATATATGTAATATGGTTGGAGGATTAAAGATGTGAGGAGAGATGATCTGCACCAGTTTTCCTGACTTGCATCTTATATAGTCTTTTGCTATTAATTATAATGGAGAGCATGTATAATGGAGTGTGGAGTATGCTGATAAAATATGTGGATGTCACCAAGCTGGGAGCGGTTGCTGTCACTTTGGAGAACAGGATTAGACTTCAAACTAAAAATGACTAAAATGAAGAACTGGTCTGAAATCAACATGATGAAATTCAATAAAGACAAGTGCAAAATGAGATACTGAGGGAGGAAAAAATAAAATTCATAAATACAAAATAACTGTCTGGGTAATAATACTCCAGAAAAAGATCTGGAGGATTATAGTGGATCACAGATTGAATATGAGCCAACAATAGGTTGCAATGTGGCCATGTAGCTAAAATGTAGCTTTATGCAAAGTAATGTGCCTCAATGTAATCTGCTAGCCACCCTTTCTAAAAGCAGAAAGGACCTTTACCTTATGTGACAAGGTCAGGCTAGAGGGCTAGGTTAGAAGGAGAGAGGCAACTTTAAAAAGCAGAAATGGCCCTAGCTAAATAGGAGAGGATTACTTCAGGGCAGCCAGGAGCAGCTGACCCGCAGTTATCACGGGCAGAGTGGGAGCAGCAGCAGAGATGGGGCTGCTATAAATCAATTAGGGCCAGCTGATCACACTTTAGGCTGCCACAGGGCCTTTTAAAAAGCCTTCTTTCCTGGGGGGGAAGAGATGGTTGGAATGAGGTGATGGACTATAACAGTTACGGAGAAAATCAGAAAAACTGAGGAGGGGGAATAACAGCATTGCCAGAAACAACAAGGGAGGGTGAGGAGCTCTGACAAGGACGGTTTGGGCTCCCTTTCCCCAGGTACCCTGAGATTTCAACTGATAACTAGGAAGGACTGTTTACCCAGTCCAGGCTGACTGGGGGAACCTACCCCAAAGCTCTTTTAGCCAAGGGACAGAAGCTCAAATCTTGGCAAGGGGGAGCAGGACCTATGTCACAGAGCCTAAACTGTGAGGCTGTGTCTACACTGGGCCACTTATTCCAGAAAAGCAGCCGCTTTTCCGGAATAACCTGCCAGCTGTCTACACTGCCCGCTTGCTTTTCCGGAAAAGCACTGACGATCTACTGTAAAATTGTCAGTGTTTTTCCGGAAAAACGATGCTGCTCCCATTCGGGCAAAAGTCCTTTTCCGGAAAAACTGTTCCGGAAAAGGGCCAGTGTAGACAGCACAGTAGTCTTTTCCGCAAAAAAGCCCCGATCGCGAAAATGATGATCGGGGCTTTTTTCCGGAAAAGCGCGTCTACATTGGCTACGGATGCTTTTCCGGAAAAAGTGCTTTTCCAGAAAAGCATCCTGCCAATGTAGATGCACTTTTTCCAGAAATAATTATAATGGAAAACTGTTCCGTTTTAAGCATTTCCGGAAAAGGGTACCAGTGTAGACGTAGCCTGAGATTGTGAACTGAACAGAGGTTTGGGATCCCGGAGTGGGTCTGAACTTGCCACACTTACCATTGGTAAAGTGGCACCAGCCGGAATATTGTTTCTAAAGTTGATTCAAGGCAGGAATAGGTTTTTTTTTTAAATATTTAAGTTTTCCTGCTTAAATATTCATAGTGTCTATGTAACTGTGACTGGTCAGACTACACTTGACACCCCAGCTGGAGAGGGTGCCAAACCCTACCCCAGGGAGAAGAGCAGAAAATAGATCCTCCAAGCAGAATAGAGTGGCTGCTTCTGCTAGAGCCAATCAGGGCCCAGCAGGCTGATACAAAAGAAGCTGCATGGCCAGGGCCTGACAGTTCCTCACTGGAGCTTGACCCAGGCAGACCTAAGGCTGACTGGGAGGATAGCAGCATTTTGGATAGCTCTGAGTGGGTGCTGGACTTCAGACCTGGTCAGAACCCAGGTCCAGCAGCTGAAGACTAGCTATCAACAGACAATAACACCTTGCAGAACCCTGGACAGGGTACAGGGAGAACTTGACCACAAGCCCTGAGAGAAAGGGCTGGACAGAGCAGCTTTCTGGGGAAGTGGCCCAGGGAATGAGATGGCAATAGACTGCAGTAATACTCATTGGCTGTGTCTAGACTGGCAAGTTTTTCCACAAGAGTGGCTGCTTTTGCAGAAAAACTTGCCAGCTGTCTACACTGGCTGCTTTGAATTTGCGCAAGAACACTGACGATCTAATGTAAGATTGTCAGTGTTCTTCCACAAATACTATGATGCTCCCATTTGGGAAAAAGCCCTCTTGCGCAAATGTATTTGCGCAAGAGGGCCAGTGTAGACAGGTCAGGACTGTTTTGCGCAAAAAAGCCCTGATGGCAAAAATGGCGATCGGGGCTTTCTTGCGCAAAACCGTGTCTAGATTGGCACGGACGCTTTTGCACAAAAGCGTCTGTGTCAATCTAGACGCCCTTTTCCCCAAATGCTTTTAACGGAAAAGATTTTCCGTTAAAAGCATTTGCAGAAAATCATGCCAATCTAGATGTAGCCATTAGGTAGCCGCTACTTACAGGATCTCTGGGTCAGGACTCGGAGGAGTAGGTGTGCCTGCCCCCCACCAATCCACAGCAGCCACAACAAGGGGGTATGAAGAAGCCTGGTCCCAGACAACTGACCAGAAAGCCTTCTGGGACTCCTCCACTCCAGGGCTATGTCTACATTGGCAGCTTCTTGCGCAAGAACATCTTGCGCAAGCAAATGTCTACACTGCCATATGCGAGCTGTGCTTTTGTGCAAGAGCACCCATGGCAGTGTGGACTTTTTCTTGTGCAACAAAGCTCTGATGGCCCTGCTGAGCATCCACACTGCCCTCTTGCGCAAGAGCTCCTGCACAAGAGGGCTTATACCTGTTAAGAAAGAGCATAGCTCTTGCGCAAGAAGCTCTCTTAACACGCTGTACTGTAAATTTCCTTGTGCAAGAGCAGGCAGTGTGGATGCTCTGCGGATTCTTGTGCAAGAACAACCATACTTGCACAAGAAGCAGCGAGTGTAGACATAGCCCAGGAAAAAAGCTGGGCAGGGAAGCTGCAGACACATCCTTGGACACAAAGGGGTGTTCATGAGAGGATGAGCCTCTTCACAATAACAAAGAAATCAGTTCTGTTTTGTGTGTGTGAATGAGGAATGTGTGTGTTAAGAAATAAGTGTGAAGGCCATTTGTTCTAGGGAGAAGCTGAAGACAGACATAAAAGCACCAGGAGATTGCTGTACACCTCTACCGAGATGTGGATGAAGGGGCAGCTTGATGACCCTAAAAGATAAGGCAAGCACCTGTCAATTGGGACAAGGATAGCTGTGATATGAGAAGAATAACTTAAGGAAAAGATCAGCTGCAGAGGGGTAGTTGAGTTAGTCTATACAGGATAAACTTAAAAAACAACAAATAGTCTGGTAGCACTTTAAAGACTAACAAAACACATAGATGGTATCATGAGCTTTCATGGGCACAGCCCATGAAACATTTGTCAAATGGCAATTGATTACAGCATGATGGTGCAAAACTCACTGATCCCAATGAAGAAAATCTACTATAAAAAGGGACTATTTTACCAGGAAACTTTGGGGTATGTCTCGCCAAGACTGGAGATCAGTCTGGACTGATATAGCCCCTGTTCTCCATTTGTTACCAATCTGGCTGACCACAGACCAGGGGGTGGTAAATATAACATTGACTGGTGGGACTGGGTATGTACATGTCTATGTAAGCATATGCTATCTGCCTTGCAATTGTATTCTCAATAAATGCGGCATATTACCTTTCCCCCTGAAAAGATTCCATGTGCTTGTTATAAGCATAACAGCAGTTGTAAAAAACACTAACATTCTAGGATGTATTAACAAGAATGATATAGGAAATAATTACTCTGCTGTGGTTAGCACTGGAGAGGCCTCAGCTTAGAGTATTATTTTCAATGCATATTTTTAAGAATGATGTGGACAAATTTGAGAAACTCCAGAGAGAAGAGCAATAAAAATGATAACGGAAACCTTACCTAAGAGGAAAGGTTAAAAAAACTAAACCTGTTCAAGTGTGAGAAACTGAGTGAGGAGGGACCTTATAACAATCTTAAAATTGTTTAAGAAATGTTCTAAAGACAACAGTGATCAATTATTCTGCATGTTCACTGATTATGGGATAAGATGCAATGGATTTAATCTGCAGCAAGGCAAGTAAAGGTTAGGAGATATTAGAAAGTCCTTCCTAACTATAAAGATAGTATAAGTACTAGCACAGGTTACCAAATAAGATTGAGGATGCTCCATCAATTGAGATTTTTAAGAATAGATTGGACACACACCTGTCAGGAATGGTTTCAATAGACTCGGTCCTGCCTCAATGCAGGGGAATGGACTTCTTGACCTCTTGAGGTCCGTCGGTCCTACTTTTCTATGACTCTGTAAGTGAACAATTCATCCTTAACCTAGTTTATATTTGTGTTCATCTATAGGCCTTACCCTCTAAGTTTCACTATTAAGTGCATTTCAAACCATATAACTTTACAATGATGAGTTGGTTAATATACTTCTACTCTAAATGTCCCAATTTAATTTGTCACTATAGTTTCACTAATGGAGATGGATTTCTGGCCCCACTTAGGACAATGGCAAAACTCCCATTTGTTTGAATTAGGCTAGGATTTCACCAACATTTATTGCAAATGTAATCATATAGCTGGAAGAGACCTCAGGAGGTCATCAAGTCCAGCCCCCTGACCAAGGCAGGACCAATCCCAACTAAATCAAACCAGTCAGGGCTTTGTCAAGCCGAGACTTAAAAAACACTGGGGATGGAGATCCACCACCTCTCTAGTTAACTCATTCCAGTACTTCACCACCCTCCTAGTGAAATAGTGTTTCCTAATATCCAACCCTACCGTAACTTGAGACCATTGCTCCTTGTTCTGCTATCCATCAGCCTCTCTCCATCCTCTTTGGAACCTTCCTTCAGGAAGTTGAAGGCTACTATCAAATCCCCCCTCACTCTTCTCTTCTGCAGACTAAACAAACCCAAATCCCGCAGTCTCTCCTCATAGGTAATGTGCTCCAGCACCCTAATCATTTTGGTTGTCCTCCGCTGGACCCTCTCCAGTATGTCCACATCCTTTCTATAATGGGGGCCCCAGAACTGGACACAATACTCCAGATGTGGCCTCACCAGAGCTGAATAAAGGGGAATAATCACTTATCTAGATCTGCTGGCAACGTTCCTCCTAATGCAACCTAATACGCCATTAGCCCTCTTGGCTACTACGGCACACTGTTGAGTCATATCCAGCTCTTCATCCACTGTAATCCCCAGGACCTTTTCTGCAAAACTACTATTTAGCAAGTCGGTCCCCAGCCTGTAACAATCCTTGGGATTCTTCCATCCCAAGTGCAGGACTCTGCACTTGTCCTTGTTAAACCTCATCAGATTTATTTTGGCCCAATCCTCTAATCTGTCACTCTGAACCCTATCCCTGCCCTCCAGTGAATCTACCTTTCCTCCTAGCTTAGTGTCATCTGCAAACTTGCTGAGGGTGCAATCCATCCCCTCATCCAGGTCATTAATAACGATATTGAACAAAACCAGTCCTAGAACCGACCCTTGGGGTACTCTGCTAGAAACCGACCGCCAACCTGACATCGTTGATCACAACCTATTGGGCCTGACATTCTATCCAACTTTCTATCCATCTTACAGTCCATTTATCCAATCCATACTCCCTTAACTTGCTGGCAAGAATATTGTGGGAGACTGTATCAAAGCTTTGCTAAAGTCAAGATATATCATATCCACAGAGCCAGTTACCTCATCATAGAAGCTAATCAGATTGGTCAGGCATGACTTGCCCTTCATGAATCCATGTTGACTATTCCTGATCACTTTCCCCTCTTCCAGGTGCTTCAAAATGGATTCCTGAGGATCCCCTCCATGATTTTTCTGGGTACTGAGGTAAGGCTGACCAGTTTGTAGTTCCCTGGATTGTCCTTCTTCCCTTTTTTAAAGATGGGCACATTTGCCTTTTTCCAATCATCTGGGATCTCTCCCAATCTCCACGAGTTTTCAAAGATAATGGCCAAAGGCTCTACATTATTCTCTCCATTATTCCCTGAAAATGCAGATACCATCAAATAGGGGGATTTTCAGACATTTCGGAGCTCAATCCTTTTCCAATCCTAGTTTTCCAGTTCACTGTTCCTTCTTTATTTCGATCACTCTTCTTTTTGCACAATGCAAGCAAGAATTTCAAAAAACACTTAACTGAAACATCAAGATGAGCACATGAACGTCATCCTTCCACTTCTCCCTATTGGCTGTCAGTGTGATTGGTCATAACACATCTAAAATTAGATTAGAAGATGTTCCTGGCAAGGCCCACACCTTCTCTTTCTTCCTGTGAGGGCCCTCGCACAATTATGTGTACAGAAGAAAAATTATGTTTGCAACATGGCATTTGCTACTTCAACCACAGTGCCACTCTGCTTTGCATTACACACACAATAATTCCATTGTCAAAGGTAGCTGACCATCTGAGGAGTATGAGGATTAGAACTAGACTGAGCTGGGGCTGGCAAGAGATTGTTGGAAACATTGGTACAGAATAAAAAGGGTGGAAGATGGACTGGAGAGGATAGCACTGGAAACAGCCTTTGTAGAGAGGGCATGCCATGAGCTAGAGATGAAAGGGAGAAAAGAGCTGGGGTGGTAGTTGGAGATGCTGGTGAAGACAAAGACCATTTCTTTTTAAATTGGGAGAGCCTAACCATGTTTGTATTTTGGAGATAAAAACAGCAGCCAGTGAGACATCAAGACAAATGTGGGATGGGGAGGGAAGGTGAGCACAGCATTAGGGAAAGGTCAGACAGTATCTTGTTACTTTCCACTCTGTAACAAAGGAGAAAATCTTGGCTCAGGTGGATGGATGGCCTGTGCAGGGTGGACAAGTGTCTGGTTTTCAATCAGAACAACCAGTTGAAAAGGGATCCTGGCAACTCCTGACCGGACATCACAAGATGGGTCAGTAGTGCAGCCCGGAGCTTCGGCGCTTGCCCCTGCTCCATGTGGCTCTGGGAAGCAACCAGCAGGCCCCGAGTCCCATGGGTGCAGGAGCATCCCTGAGGCCCACAAACCTGCTCTGCAGCTCCCGCTGGCTGGGAACCGAGGCCTGTGGGGGCTGCGCTAGAAACGCCGCCGGCTCCTGGAAGCTGCCTACAGCCCGAGCGCACCTCAACCCCGCAGGCCTGGTCCCGCCGCAGCCTCCCTCTTCCCACCCCAGTGGAAACGGGACAGCGA